AGGATTTATCCGATTGCTGGGTTTTTATTTTAAATCTTTCCAGGTTGCAAGGATTCATCCCTTTTTATGGTTCTAGCTAGCTAGCTAGATGCCAGCCATCAAGCAATGGTCGCATTCCACCTAGCTACTAGTAGCGAACGGTAGGCCATTTATTTGTCCCCAATGCAAACCCAGGCGGGTGATGTGACCTGGACATGGTGTAAGCGTTTGTCATGAGTGGGTACCCAGGTGCCTTGAGTGGCAGCTATGGCACTCACTCAGCCCAGCGTAAGAGGTGGCACGTATTCTTTGCTTTGGGTCAAGGCAAAGAATTGGCAGAGCGAATTTCCTCTGGGAGGGCAGAGGAGATTCTTAGGAGCAAGGGTTTCCCAGTGGATCCTCCAAGAGCTTCTCCAAGATGTCGGTGGAACTTAATTATGACTTATTGCGATTCCTAGCTGATAATGCCTGTAATTTCAAGGGGTTCCGATTGATAATCAATATAGAATCGCCAAGAACGAAAAGAAGCGTCGTCAGGGAGTATCGACTGTAAGTTTTGGTACTGTTAAGTGCCACCGGTACCTTTTCGATCGAGACGAGTTCAGCAAACACCCACCACGCAGCCATGCAGATCGCTGCACGATGAGCCCTGATGAGAGGACGCATACTGTGCTGCTTGCTGATGAGGTTGCCCCCCCCCCCCAGCAACCACCAACGGACCCTCAGCACTCTCTTTTATTCATCTTTGAGCTGCAACCTTACGGTTCTTGGATTTCACCATGACGAATAGCTTGGTAATAGCTCAAAAATGCTCGAGTTCGCTGTCGATATTGGGCTCTGCGTACATCTTTCAAGAAGTGGTCCGAGATCCCGAAAAGCGGTCCAAGGTGATCTTTCGATTGCTGGCGTCCATGAGTTTGTGCGATGTCTTTTGCAGTGCTTGGTTCTTTACAGGGACGTGGGCCGTTCCCAAGGGCACACCAGGGATTGCCGGTGCCGCCGGTACCGAAACATCCTGCAAAGTCCAAGCCTTTGTCATGTACGCCGCCGTGACCACACTGAACTTTAACGCCTGCTTGGCGCTCTACTACTTGGTCTCCATTCGCTTGGGGTGGAGAGAAGACCGCATTCGACGTTACGTGGAACCCTTCTGCTACATTTACGCGGTGGGATTGGGACTGGTGGTGGGCATTGTTCCCATGATTTTGGACTTGTACAGTCCCGCCACCTTTTGGTGCAGCATTCAACCAACACCCGAAACAACTCTGACGCAGTACATTTGGTTGCTCTTCTACGTACCCGCCTGGTTTACGGCTGTCTTTGTCACGGTCGCCATGGCGGTCATTTACAGACATGTAAGACACACAGAAGCACGGGCGCAACGATACGATTTCAATGCCCAAATACAAACACAACAACCATCATCATCACAACCACCACCACAATCCACTCAAGAAACCGAGGAGCCACCGTCGACTCCTTCGCAAACATTTCACCGATTGGCATCCGCCGTGTCCTTGAAATGGATAAAGAAACAACGACCAAAACAACCATGCACCGCAGCACGATCTTCCAAAGTGGCCACACAGGCATTCTTTTATTGTTTGGCCTTTTACATGACCCTTGTCTTTGCCACGGCCACTCGTGCCATGCAAGCCATCACGGGATCCGTGCCCCACGGAATCCTCCTCTGTTTCATGATCTTTTATCCCCTGCAGGGATTCATGAATTTCTTGGTCTACATGCGTCCGCGATGGACGACAGCTATTTCACAGTGGCACTCCAATCGACAGCGAGAACGCACCGCCGCAGACAGTACCACTACGAGCGGTCGACCCTCCAGTAGTAGTAAGCTGCGCACCAGTTTGTGGGGTCTACGATCCAGTTCTTCTCGATGGAGTTTTTCCAGAGGTGGTAGTGGCAGGCCAAGCGATCGCTCCTGGAAGGGTTCCTCGCACAACATTATTATTCACGACGAGGACGAACAACAACAAGCAAATGACAAATCGCAGCCTTCGCAACCGTGGGAAGAACCCAACATGGAGGGGCAAACACAAAAGTCCATGCAACTCTCCCAACCATTTGAACTCGAGGATATCCAAGAGGATGAATTCGCAGAGCCAACCAAGAACACACGCACCAGTTTGTGGGGTTTACGATCCAGCTCCCGTACGCCAAGTGGCGCCGTGGATATCGAAGAGGGGTACGCGGAGAAATCCCAGCACGTACCATTGGAACTCGAGCTGGTGGTTGCAGAAGAACACGAGAATGAACAATGATCCCTATCTATTTCGTTTATCGAAATAGAGATTGAAGCAAATAGTGGCAAAAGCAGCCATCGAAGGTTTCCTCCTGATGCTGTCTGCGTCCTCTTGCTTACCCAGACCTTAGCTTCGATGCCATTCAATGGCCAGACAACAACTCTCCCAGGGTCTGTCTTCGTGACATTTAATATTGACAGATAGAGACCTTGGAAAAAGTTCAAAAAACTTTATGTAAAAGTTCAAAGAACTTTATGTAAAAGTCATGAAGGTCTCGGCCACCATGAGTCGAGTCGAGTCACCAAGATTTGCAACACTCTGAGTGGGCACAGGACAGGCTGGATATTACAGTACTAGCAATTCCAAATGTAGCCAGAACATTCCTTCGTGCTTGTTGTATCTGTCAACTTGTCGTAGACTGATGTAGCTAGTAGGATACTGTGCTTGTCTGTATTATCATCTAATTTTTGAGTTGATGCGCTGTGGCTCTACGGTATCTATCCAGCTAGCTACTGGTAGTAGCATGGCGTCTATTCTATGATCGGATCTAGCCAGAAGAAGGCACGGCCAGAGACTCACATCAGATTCAGCTCACCAAGAGTTAAGTACCGCCGCACCTCCGCAAGATATTGATGGCGCGGCGTTGGCGCTTCGATCGCTTGAAAAACCCCGGTGGATGAATGTACAGTGGACGTCGTTGCCACACATCCCATTAGTTCACCAAGCTGACTTGGCTGTCTGTTTGTACAATGCGTTGGATACTGGGGCCGAACGTTTACCCCGAGATATCTTGCTGGGGAAACGGTTCCGTCTCGGCACCGAATTCGTCCAGTTCCACAAAACAACCGACCAGATACAACATAAGAGCCCGCAACGATCTAGATTTCAGCACTACGAGACTACTCCAAACGCTACAGGCGCCACTTGTTAGTGGAGACTAGAGAAGAGACGGCAGTGACGTGCGCAAGGTGGAATCGAACCACTGGGATATCACTCCCCCACAGGTTTGAAGCCTGCCCTCACCACCAGGCAAGATCATGCACACATTGTCGCAAAAAGCATCCAATGCCGTCTCTCTCCCAAACAAACAAACGATAGAACGCAAGAGTGAACCTCGGCAACAATCAGATCCAAAGGAACATGATTGTGCGTCAACGGTCAGCAACAGGGGTACATATATAGTGTACAAGCTTTTAAAAGCTGTCGTTATTTTCTTCGGAGCGAAACAAATCACCGGATCGGACAGTTTCCTTACTTAGGCTTTTCCAAGAGTGGCAGCCTTCTTGGCTTCTTCGACGGCCATGGCCTTGGCACGCTTCTCGAGCTTGGCTTGGGTCTTGAGACCCATGATTCCACCACCCCACTTGCGGACCAAGTCGGCGTTGTGGTTGTACTTGTCGTTGGCCAAGTCTTGGAGAAGCTTGAGCTGGGAGGCATCCGCCTTGTCCACACCGGTCAAGCAGACAACGGCAGCGCCCTTTTGGTGGACGAGAGCACCCAAACGAGCCTTGTCCTTGACAATCATAAAGGGAATCTCCATCTTGCGGCACAAAGCAGGCATCCAGACAACCAACTCGAGGGGGTTGACGTCGTTGGCAATCAAGACAAGCTGAGCCTTCTTTTCTTCGACCAAGGTGGTGACATGCTTCAATCCAAACTTGACTTGGTGGACGGCACGTCCACTGTTGTCGGGCTCTTTGCCAGCAGCTTTGGCGGCAGCAGCGGCCTTGACACGCTGCTTCTTGGCGGCAGGGGTCTCAGGGCGGTACTTGTTCAACAAGGTGAAGACGGTCATGGCCTCGTTCTTGGACAAAGTCTTGGTAAACTGGTTGATGGCAGGAGGGACCTTTAGGCGCTGGTAAAGAACAGCCCTCTGACGCTGGAGGCGCACATAGGCAGGCCAACGAACGAAACGAGACAAGTCACGTCCCTTGGGGCGAACATCTCCTCCAATTTGGAAGGTGCGAGCACGAGAGGGGAACAAAGGATCCGCGGCCTTCTTGGCCTTGGGCTTATCGTCCACCTTTTTCTTGCTTCCTTTCTTGGGTGCCTGTGATGGATGTGGAATGAGAGCAATCAGAATGAGAAACAAGCAACGCGACTGACTGGCCAGGCAACAGGGAGCAAAAGGTTCTACGTACCATCTTGCTTCGTCTTTCAACACAATCGAAATACTTTCCAGAATTGTGGGCAACAAGGGCTTCGAGAACGTGATGATGGATCTGGGGCTGTGCGGTTGGGTGGAAGCAGCCCTTTCAAGTAAGTGGTAACCATAAAGATTCCATTCCCGTTCGTGAATCCATTGACAACCATGACTTAACCATCAACCTTGTTGGCTTCCGCCTGGGTCTAATTACACTATTTTAACACATGTACCGGTACGGTACCATGAAGGTATTAATAGCTAACCATGAGGTTTGTTGCAGAACCCAAAGAATGAACAATGATCCATTTATTTGTCAAGACAGAGCTTGAAACCGCGGCAAAAGCATTCAATGTTTCTTCCTGATGCTGCGCCCTCTTGCTTCCCCAGACCTCAAATAGCCTGAGAAGTCTCGCGGGAACTGGTCTTCGTGACATTTTGACAGATAGATGGGTTCAAGAACACAGCTTGGCAAAAGTTCAAAGAACTTCCCCAGTCATGAAGCAAAGAAACAGAAAAGGGAATCTCCCTGCCCAGTACATCCGTCTTGGATTGATGCCATTGTGTCGTTGGCGTACTAGGCTGATGCCCAGCTACCGTAGCTAGCATACTGTGCTTACTTGTATCGTCTAGCTCTATATTTATTTTATTGCATTACGAATCTATCTCTAGCATGGTGTGTTCTATGATCATGCCTGGTTCGTCCCTGTCGCTTCCCGTGCCCCCTGCTGGTTGATTTTACTTTGAATATCTTCCAAGACAGTTGCCCCGTTCTGGAGCATGAGCTTTACGTTGCAGCCCAACTGTTCCATGTTGACACGATGCTGCTCCATGGCTTTTGCTTGAGCCTGTTGCAACCGTGCACAGATGGGAACATTATTTCTATCCTGTTCTGGTTGTGGCGCTGGACTGGCCTTGGCTTCTTTTGTTTTTGGCTTGTCGACATTCATTTGGTGGTCTTGTGCAAAACTGGGCATGGGAAGGTCGACGGCGGGAAAGTGGTCTTGTTCCAGCACGTCCGACATTTGGTTCAACTTGTTGCGCAACATGGGCCTCGAGTTTTGTTCGGCCTCCAAGAGTGGGTCCGTCACCTCGAGTGCCTTTAGCTCCTCGGGAGACAAGACAATTTGATTGTCCGGTTCCACCGAAGGAATGACCGCACGCTTGGGCCAGATCATTGACTCGCCAATCTGTCGTTTAATGGCGGAAATCAATTCGCTTCGTAGCAGGGGCAACAATTTGGTCACTTCTCCTCCTGCCACGGAAACGTCGAGACCAATCTCGGGCATGGACGGAAAGGAGACCAATGTAGCCCCAAAACCAAATTGGGATTTTTGGGTCAAGGGAGCAAAGACGATTCGCACGGGTCCTTGAAAGCGCACATTTTTGACCGTGACGGGTACTTTGGGTGGAATGAGTCCTGTATGGACCTGTACGGTGGCTTCCAATTCACTCTCCCACGTCACGTCGCATTCCATGGCCATGGCATTCGGGCCAACATCGTACATGCGAGCGGCTTCCAGTTTGGGAGTGACTCCACCGACGGAAAAGTGCGACAATTGGAGTTTCTTGATACCGGCGGTGGACGACAACAACGAGGGGATTTCATCCATTGCTTGCTCTAGGTATGCCTTGACCCCCGCTTCAATGTTGTAAGGCAAGAGCCGATCGAGCATGTACTGCATGGGGATGAGACCGGCTGGTCCGACAGCTGCCGAACACAATTGCACTTGAGTTCGAATGGCTTGGACTCCCTCGACTGCTTCTTGTCGCGTTTCTCGCATCTTGGTCTTGAGGACTCTCCATGCCTTTTTATATCTTGGCTGTTGTTTTACTGTGGTTGTTGGTTCATCCAACAATAAGGTATTGCGTGTGTCCGATAAGCCAGTGGTAAATGTCATCCAAATTTTCCTCCACAAGACAAACGCCATGGAACTGAATCGAATCAGATTGTTCTTGCCAATGGCATATGTCGCGGCACATGCCGCCACGGCGGAGGAGCAAAAGAGACCACCCGCCACAAACACCACCGCCAACCTCAAAAAGGAGGCGGTCGATGGGGATGTGGCTACGGATCCTGCCATTTGCACGGGTGAAAAAGAGTGCAAGGCGGTACTACTGGATGGTTGGAATGCAAGGGGTGTTGTTGCGGTATAGGGAGTGAAGAGGGCTGGGTGCATCAACGGCCGTCTTCTGGAACTAGCATGTTGTGGTACTTGTGGTACTTGTGTGAAGATGCCTGGATGCAGTGATGACTGTCCAATGGACATTGGATGGACTGTCGTTGTCTGTGGGGTAAAAGCAGAGACTATCATGATGGTATTGTATTGTATGATTGAGTGGGTGAGGTTGATTTTATGAGACCGACACCATCAAGCCAAGCCATCAAGCCAACCACTTGACTTGCCGTGGGCAACGTTGCCCTTCATACTGCATGACTGATGATCTCCATCAATTGGTGTCAGAGTGTCAGGGCTGTTCCATCGCCTCTGTGAATGCTTCTGCATGCTCAGGCGATGGCAATGCTCCCCTACTAGCTAGTAGCCAGTTTGGTCTTGACTTGCTTGCATCGATCCCGACTCGACTCGTCTTGACACCTTTACTGCATGCAACGCAACGAGAAAATGCCAATCAAACATCATGTTGACAAGAGTGTGACAAGTACTTGCAACGTTGATGACATGGGAGTGAAACAAGAACCAGTGAAACTGAACTTGGCATTCGAAGCGAGGTTGAGGTAAACACTAGGCAGAAGGTACAATTTAGTTGAAGCGATGTTTACTACATCTACCTAACCTTCAGAGCTTCCTTCCTGGGACTGCTTTGACGGAACGGACTTTCACTCGACTCAATGGACTAAACGTGGGCCCGTGGTCCCGTGATGCTTCGGCACCCCACGAAAATGGCATGACGCTGTGCAAGTAAGCTAGCTAGATGCATACCGGTAGCAGCAAGCTTTGATGCACAAGTTCAGTATCTGTACGGCAGGTAGACCTATTAATACCAGTTATCTGATCCATACATGACGACGAAGGAGCTACGAATTAGCAGAGGATGCCGTATTTTAGACTCTATATAGAAAGCGGGGGTAGGGGGAACTGAGAACAGAAATGAACGTGCTCGCTCAAATCAGGGGCACCAAGGAGGTACCAAGTGTGAGGAGAGATTGGACAGGTGCATACCGGTAGAGAGAAGGTAGCCTAGGCCATCGAGCAAGTGAAAGCTGGATCAGGCAGGAAATTCATTGTTGCTTGTAGACTTGAGAGTAACAGGACGGGCCTTTCACGCACTGGCTCAAACTAACTAAGCAAACCTTCTGGGATCTTTATGGTGTCAACTTGAAACAAAACCAGCTACTATCCTTAATAGCTCATCATGATCTATCTCATGCCACAACACAGCAAAGCTCCAGCTCGTGTGGTCCCCTAGCTAGTAGCCTCTCCGTGTCCTTATTCGGATGCTCCACACCGGGCAGGAACCGAAGCGGCCGAAGGAAAGGAGGAAGAGATCGCAAAGAGCACGATGAGCTAACGCGATCACGGAACCCACTCGAGCTGGGTGGGAGGTCCACGGCGCATCATCGTTCCGTGAGATGAGACTCCAACCACTTCGGTTCTGGAAGATGTTCTGTGCCTGCCCAATGTCCAACTCCAAGACCCATCAGCACCCATCAAACTTCCTCCTTCCAACCGATGGCCATAACTTTTCTATTCCATTGTTACAGTCCACGATACCACTAACTCAGATTTCGAAGAAACGCAAACATCATGGTGGCATCCCTCAAGTTTCGCTCCTTGGCACTGGTCATCTTGCCATTCGCCCATGGGTTTATTCATCCAATGAGCCTTCCACAGAAGAAATGCAGCACTCCTTCTTCTTCTGTTGATCGCGCCAATCATCATGGGAGTCATTCTCATCCAAAGGAAACGCTTCTTCATTCCTTTGCCGGTGGAGAGTTGACTGCTGTCGATGCCTTTTTCCAAACATCTCCGTACGTATCTGCCTTTTTGACGTGTTCTGTGAAAGCATCGGCTGCCGATTGGGTGGCGCAAAGCATGCAACAAGAGGAAGAAGAACGAAACTGGAATCGCAACTTGGCATTTATTGCCTACGGAGGAATCTATCAAGGATGCATCCAGTCATTCATCTTTGGAGTCCTATTTCCCATGTGGTTTCCGGATCCTACGATTCATTCCATTCTGACACAAGTGGCCATTGATACTTTGATTTTGGGTCCACTAGTGTGCATGCCCACTGTGTATACCATGAAGGCCGTGTTTGCAGGAGAAACAGACCCCACGGCGGGAATTACCAAATACTTGGATCATGTCCAACACAAGGGTATCTTGTTCAAGTACTGGTCCATTTGGGGACCCGTCCAAGCACTCAACTTTGCACTGGTTCCACCTCATTTACGAGTGTACGTGGTGGCCATGGTGTCCTTCTTTTGGATTTGTCTCTTGTCTATGGTGTCCTCGTCGTCTTCTTCTGTGGAAGAAATGGAGGAGGAGGATCGCTTCATGACACACCAGCACCAACAGGCAGATGGCGCTTCATCTACCTCCACCAATCCGTCTCTACAGCTTCTTCCCATCCCGGTTCTTTCTTCGGGGCATGCATCGTATGAACATGCTCAGTCCATGAGTCAAGAGTCTCACTGGAGGCGATGAAAAACATCATGATCTGCAGCGTCACAGCCACCGACATGGCTGGTGCCGAGGAGATTTTAGATAGAGTAGGGTACAGTAGCGTAGAAACTAGAGCCAGAGAGCCAGCAAACTTCATAATAAAAATAGTAGACCAAAACATACACGACATTACTACGATTTAGACTTGACATGGGGGAAAAGACCATAGCTCGGACTGGGTTACAGTGCTCTTGACGCAAAGAGGAGCGAGGGAACGATCAAAAGCGAAGAGTGAGGGATGGAACGTTCTCGTGCCTTTACGTCAACACTAGCTAGCCAGCCTAAAAGGAGCGCAAATCTCCGAACAAAAAGACCAGGGCACAAGCTTCGTTCGGGTTGTTTCTCTGCTACTAGTAGTAGTATTCCCTTGGCAGGAGTCCTAAATCTAGCTAGATAGCTTGAGTTCTTGAAGTAAGTCATGGAAGGGATTGCCTTCAAGTTGCCGACATCAGCCCAGCACAAAGTGTCCTGGCATGGTGACTGGGGCAAAGCACACATGCCGGAGACGACAAGTCTTTGCTAGCTAGCGGGCTCCTTGGAAACCCTAGCTAGCTGCCCGATGCCATCGAATGAATCGATCCGCAAGAATGATCGACACTCCAGCCAAAGCCGACAGAGGACGTCCTTGCCACTCCTCTTGTTTCGCTGGACTGGCAGCAGAAATGATCTAGCTAGCTAGCTAGAGATGGACTACACTACACTATATTCATGGAAATGATACTATTCGTTTGGTGGCTGCTGCTTTTGGTAGTAATGATAATTGTGGTCGAATTGTTTCCTTTCATTTTTGCTTGCGTACACTACTGTATTGTATCTAACCCTCTTCCATGGCTTCCTCTTCTTCTTCGTCGTCCTCATCTTCTTCTTCCAATTGTTCATTGGCCCATTCCTTGGCTGCCGTGAGTACATCCTTGGGAATGGGTGCATGTTTCCATTTGGACGCCTCGCAGATCCAACTCAATTCGAGTTCCATGGGTTTTCCATCACTGTCTTTATTTTCCTTGTGCAAGAGAATGAGGATTTTGGCCACATTCTTGACGGCCGTCGCCACATCCATACTCGACTCGGCGTCTTGTTTGTGCAAATTCAATTTTTCCAATTCCGTCTTGGCCACCTGCTTGCCCTTGCCCGTGGCGACTCCGTAGTACTTGTAAGCGGCACCATTGGGTTCGAGCATGTACAGACCACACTCTTTCGTGTCGACATCGTATCCACCCAACACACACGAGGCACCAAAGGGTCGTAGTGCTCCGTGCAACGTAAAGTAATGCACATAGTGACCCAATCGGTCCGCCAAGACATGCGGTGGAACTTTACTGCCGTAATGCTCCTGCCAATCGGCCGCTTCTTCTTGCGCTCGGCCTACCAAGACACGCGCATCGGGGAGAAACCCCGTTGTGGCGACACCGGCGTGGACATCGACCGTATGAATGCGTTTGTAGGAAGCGGTTGTCGGGACAATCATCTTGTGATAGAGCGGTTTGGCTACGCCCAACACGACGCCGTCCTTGGCGTGGATCCCAATCACTGTACCGGCATTCTCCACTGCCTTGCCGGCGTATTCCACTTGGAAGATGCGACCATCTGGAGAGAATGTCGCAGCAGAAAGATCGTACCCAGAACCAGAGGATGCCATTGTCAATCTACTTTTGATTACAGCAAGGCGATGCTTGGAAGGTGTTGCCGCTTTGTTGTTGCTTGTCGTCTCGGATCTTCCACAACGACGATGCCAGCCGATCCGGATGGAAGGTCCAAATCATCGCCAGGGTGGCATAAAGCGTCTGTCATGAGCCCGTCAGCACTTACTTGGTACGGTACGGTAGCGTGAAGGTTACGTGTTCAATCGATCCGACTGAATCGAATCGAATGATGATTCGATTGATCATTCGACTCAATAGATTCGATACGAATAGGGTCATTTGAATGACTGTTCGAATCAGCTCGACCTGCGTTTCCAGGTTCCAGGTGTCACGCAGTCGTGTTCCGCTTTAACTCTTTTAGTCGTGGCTACAGCATGGATCGATACTCCGCTCCGCAGCTCCGTCAGCCTCCGGACACCAAGCACCGCCATGATGAACGTCGAAGAGCAAGCAAACAGACAACAATAGCAAAGGAAGCGGGGCGTAGGAAGCGTCTTGTTGGATGTTGTTGGGTCGGTGCTCATCCATCAGTGGCTCAGTCTCGCCTCATCACATGTCGTTTTTCAAAAAGTCAATCTGGCAGAATCCATCATCCCACATCTGGCAGAATCTGTCATCTGATTTTGGCGGTGGAAAAATGGAATGTCACCATGATGAGCTCACTTTTTTGTTCAACCGGATTGCTAGAGTTGCATACCCAACCGAACAAGGAAGACTTTCGCGATTGTTGATAAGCCTAGGCCAGATCAACCCCCCAGACCTTATTCAAGTCTACTTTTACCTTTTCTATCAATCTTCTATTCAATACCTATCAATTGCAAAATGAAGTTCTCTTCTTCTATCGTCAAGCTGCTCACGTGGTCCATGACCACCGACAACAACAACAGCAACACCGAGAAGACCCCCGTTCTCCAGGTCGCCAAGGAGATGACGGGCAACAACAACAAGGATGTTCCTGTGGCAGAGGAAGTCCCAACATTCCAACTGGACGAGTTGGACAAGACATGCGTCGAAACCGCGGCACTGTTGCACAAAGATGGAACGAATCCTGATGTAGAATTCCAGCAGCACGGTCGCTACCTAGGTGCCTACGACCTTTCCCTGGTTCCTGCGGATCAGCATGGTCACTACGGATACGACAAATACAACCAGCACCGGCCCAAAGGCTGTCGCATCCAAACCAGTCATTCAGCCAACGCTCACTGGAAGACCCATTACGGTCAAGACACCGAACGGAGCAATGGAAACCGTTTATCCTTTGCTCCCGTCAACACTGTAGTGGGGTACTCTTCTGGCGAGAGCGAACAAGCTGAGAACCGTCGTGTCTATCGAGACATGAACAAACATGTGCCACAGGCCGGATACGAATACTGGCAGGAAGCCCAACAACAATTCATTTCCGTCGGCACTCCCACACCCCACGAACGTGTCTTGGATCTCGTGCAGTTGATTCAAGAGTACGGATACCAACAAGTGGCCAAATGGATCACCAACAACCTATGGTTCCAAAGCGACAACGCGTACCTAGAAAAAGCCAAACTGTACATTCAAATTGATGCCGTGCATCAAGACCTCGAGGGACTTGTTCGTTTTATCCAGGCGAAGAAAGGAAACGACAAGCAAGTCTCGCATTGGTTCATGGTCAACGAAAAGAACCCTTACATGTTCGAACTCGCCATGTGCCACTTGCACCACGGAGGAATTCAGCGCAACGCTGACGACGAAATTTGCACCTTGAATACGCGAGAACAGATTGCCAATCGACGATTTGTCTATCGCAAGGTCAAGGATGTCTGCATGGAAGATGCGGCACCCGTAGTAGTAGAACAACAACCAACAACAACTAAAGACGTCGAGGCAATAGAAAAAGTCTCGACCGTGGACGACGACAACAAGATGGCATCCGATGCCACAATCACATGCGAAGCAGCGGTGGTTCCAACATGCACAGCAGTGGTACCATACATTCAAAAGTGGCATGTGAAACACTTCAAGATCAGTGTGCTTGGACAACAACCATTTGTATTGGAGATGCGAATGATGAGTGGTGTGCTACTTGGAGTGGTACCCAACAACATTCTCACAGCATTGATGAAGGATGGTGGAGACCTTGTCAAGGAATTGATGCGGCGGCACAACACACTACGATTGGAGGCAGGCGTTGCCTCGGACGATACGGATTACGAATTCGTGACTGGCCAAGTGGAGGCTGAAGAACCACTGGTCGAGGAACAACAACAACAAGTTGATGCTGATGAACAACTGGTCGACAACCGAGTCGATGAGGAGGACAACGTGGACACAGCACAATCAACATTGCGACAATCAAAGAGACGCATGGCGGCGATTGCATCTCAGAGAATCGCAGAACAAATGAAGCCCCGGCGGGTGGCAGAACAACCTAGAATTAAACGTAGATGCGCGGCGGCCACCAAGAAAAAGTCGACAAAGCCAAAGGGGACGGGCAAGAAAAAGTCAACAAAGCCAAAGGCAAAGGGCAAGAAGAAGACGGCAAGACCTGTGACGGAAACACAGCAGCAAACAACAGTTCAGACAACAACAACAACGCTTTCTGGACGACGAGTCAGAAAGCCTGACCGGTACATTCCAGTCTAGGACAAAGGTAAGTGGGGCGGACTATGATTGCGGGGACTACTAACACATGAATACAGTACACAAAGAGCAAGCATCTGGTGGGTGCAGGGCTATACAACAATTTTTTGCGGAGATGAATACAGTTGGTTCAATTGAAGGGTCACATCGAAGGTAGCCAGGTTTGTGGTTCCTGTGCTAGGCAGCCTCTATTGCAGAGTGCTTGTCCGAACGTCCTCCACGCGACGAAAGTCCAAAGTTAATACCTGTGACACCTGACAACCAACCTCTATCATTGTTGATGCTACAATCTTAAATACAACCAAACATAAACATAAAACAATAACACATAGTAGACAATCTTTACAACAACAACAAAAACAGGTCTTCATTCTTTATAGTAGTAGTAGTTGTAGTAATAGTTCTGGCTATTTGTAATCATAGTAGCATCCATTGTAGCGCAAGCCTGGATCCTTGTATCATAAGATGTACAGGTTTGTGGCCAAGTCACATCAAACCTTTCAGCTCTCAGCTCCGAGTCTCAGCTCTCTCACATTCCTCAATGACGGACTGCAGACTGTGACTGTAATGGCTGAAGTCGAAGTCGAGGGACCCGTCGACAGTCAGCGTTTCCCTTCACAGCAGACTTGCGGTTGTCTGGCTGTGCGCTCTCCGTTCATCACCAATCTTCTTGCAAACTACGAAGCGTGGATGTGGACGTGGAAGTTCTGTCTTTATTTGGCATAGCGTAATTTAGTGCAATGGGGGCTACTCAAGACTACTACGATAGATTCTAACCAAAGCAACCTCAGACCGAGACCATGCTGTTGCTGCTGTTACACTCGCCGCTTGATGTTGTTTCTGGGACGATTGCAAAACTATCAACAGCGGATGGGTGCGGCTTAGCCCCACCTGCACTCATTTCAGAGGCACAATCCGAGTTCCCACCACGTCCGAGCGGGAAGCAGATGTCGGCCAGCTGGATGGTGACACGGTCGTACACAATGATACCTTTCTTCTTGAGATTGCAAATCATGACGGCAAAACTCCCATTGCTCTGGCAACCCAGCTGCTCTTTCACCGCATTGCGGTCGTGTGCGCCCCCGTCCTTCAGAAGATCGAACAACCTCCCAGCCATCCCATTGCCCAGCTTGTGCTTTTCTTTAATCTCCGCCTGTGCCGTGTCATTGTCCATGGCAATTTCTTCTATTTCAGCAGCGTTGGCTTTGGCACGACCCGCTTCTGTCAGGCGGATGAAGTCTTTGTCGTAGTCGATCAGACCTTGCTTCTTCTTCATCCCGCTGATGGTCACGGGGAATGTCGTAGCCTTGAGTCCAGAAAGGGATGCAACCATCTTGCGCGGCACATTTGGGTCGCCAGAACGTGTCTCGATGGAAAGCACAAGGTCAAGAATGCGTTGGGGGCCACCGCCAGAGCTCGTCTTGGAGGATGACACTTTGGCCGTTGTTTTCTTCTTGGCGGCCTTTGCTACGCCCTTACTGCTTTCGTTCGTTGCTTTGGTCATGGTTTCAAGCAGAAAGTTATGATGGTGCAAAACGCTTCTTCGATTAGCTATGATCGGATTTGTGTTGTGTGGACCGTCACATGTCCCTTCGGCCTGTCCTCGGAGGGGTGAATATCGTGGACAGGGACAACGGAATGCCCACGCAACCGTTTTCACTCACTTTCATCGATAAACTGATACGTTATCCTTTACAAAAAGAGTTTGTTCTATCGAGGGTCTTCCGTTGGCTGGCGGGTGTTTCTCGCTCTGTGGTGTTGGTCCGTTTCGGTGCCGCTACGTGTAATAGAGGTGCGGCGTGATCAAAACTAATTAGAAGGCGTGCCTGTGCCGCTCCCAAACCTCAGCGCATCCAAAGCAAGACGACAAGTTTGAAAGCAAAGGAAACAGAACCTAACACGAGTAGGCACACGTTCCAACTAGTTGTTGGCCAACTCGTGGCCAAACTTCACGGAGAGGACGTGCGTCTTCTCTTGCTTGGTGTCGAGCCGAACAAAGCTGAAATTGATGCACTTTTGTCCGTCATATCCAGTCTCAATTGTCCAGACAACTGCGCTTGTCGTGCCTGTCAATTTGCTGTCTTGGTGGGAGGCATAATACTTGGCCAAGACGTCGTACTTCCCGTGAAGAGCATACCTTCTTGAATAGGCCAGGTAGACCTCGGGTCCGTAGCCCTGTCGAAAGTCCCTGCTGACCACACTGGCGGTTCCTTCCTGCTTCTTGTAGTAAACCTCGCGCCCAGAAGGCTCAACGACGTGAAGATCGACATCCGTTTTGTCCGTGTCCCAGGCAAGCCACACCATCAGTGCAGGGTCAAAGTTTTCCCCGCGCAGTGCGTCCGCGTTGCTTTGCCCTTGCTCGCGGTAGAAGAGGCTCAGCTCCATGGGCCACTCTGCTACCAGCCCTGGCATGACGTTCGAGTTGATTTCTTGAGCGAGTCCCGCGATGTAGTTGAGCAGGACCAGCGCAGGCCACTCGACCTCTTTGAATCTATCGGCCCAGCAATGAGTCAATATATGAACCAAGCCATCCTGCGCCATGATCATGTGTTTGCAGAAGGTTTGTGCCTCGCCATCAGTTTGTCCGTTTTCCCCGCTCGCCTTGAAAGCAGTGAAATTCTTCCAAGTCTTGTAGTAGAGACTGAGACTCGAGTCGATGAAACTCGGGGGCTCAAGAGGAGCCAGAGCGTTGACCTTTCCAAAGATCTCGATTGCAAAATCGAGGCCGTACACCGTGTCTGTGGAGAGCATCAAATATCCGACAGATCGCAACATTTGCACATCGCTGAGCCCACTCTCGAGGCAGTTGGCAGCTATCCGAATGGCCTCCGTTGGCCTGCCGTACTGAATCAGAATGCGCGCCGTGTTCAAAAAGAGAGACGGAGACGCCGTTCGGTGACCGCCGTAGGACTCGATCTCACGGTTGTACTTGCGCTTCCACTTCTCTTCGTCGTCTTTCTTAAGTGCCTTGTCCAAGGATTTGATGTATTCCTTCGGGTCTTTGGGCTCGAGCGGCTTTTTGGGCTTCGTCGCTGTCTGCTTTTTCTCCGGCAAGTTGGTAAGGAATCTGTCGAGAGAATCCTCCATGCCGCTCTTCTTATCGTGTTTGGCATGTTTTGCCTGCATGGGCACACCAGCCAGCGAGGCGAAAGACTCCAATGTCGGGGTGTCGAGGGTTTCCAATCGGGGCTCGTTGCTGCGGAGCCAACCCAACGCATCCTCGACAACCTTCTTCTTGCCTGCCTGGAGCGTGGCGCACGACGGCAGCGGGGCCCCAGACAAATTTGACAGCGCCATCAGAACCGGCTCGTCGATGTCGTCCAATGGGGGGTCAGTTTTTCGGATCCAGTCAAGTCCCAGCTCATCCAATGCTTTCTTTTCCAGGTATTTCATTGCTTCATTCACGCAGCCAAATTTCCCCTCGGACACTAACGCTTCTGCCTCTCGCAGCCTCTTTTCGGCATTTCTCCTGGCTTGCTCCTCTCTTTGTTTTCTTTCCTGTTCCTCTCGGATTCTCCTTTGCTCCTCATCGTACTGCTTCTTCGCGGCCGCTTTCCGTTGATTTCGTGCCCCCTCTTCCTTCTTCTTTCTTTCCGCCTCTTTGCGGAGCCTAGTTTCCAGTGCTTGTCGCTTTCTCCACTGCTCGGCCGCGCGGCGATTTCTTTCGCTTGCTTCTCGGCGGCGAGTTTCTTCAGTCTCCAATCCATTCAACTTGCTCGCGAGCTTCTGGACCTCGGCTTTTTGCTTATCGTCTTTGACACCTCCAATCTGTCCAGGAGCATATACTGTTGCGGCAGCACGAACAGGCTCTTTGGGGCGTGGCGGCATGTGCCTGGCGGCGGGGTGCTCTACCGGTGGCCAAAGGTTGTGTTCGGTGAATTGCGCGGGTTCGTAGAGCATCAGCAGTGTTGATTCTGGAGAGCAAAACCCGTAGGAGATGGCCAGATCTTCCCTGATGCGCTTTGTGGAGGTACCCGACTTGATCTCAAAGTCCTGAGCCTCTCTATAGAGTTCTTCCGCGTACACATGACCAAGGATGCGTGCCGCGGGGTCCTCCGGCAAGGCGTTTGTCGTATCGCTGGTGCCCTGGTCGTCTTGCTCAAGGAAGATCGTTGGGCAGTTGTATAGTGTGGTTCCGTCATGCTTGGCTTCTTCTTCTTCCTCCTCCTCCAGCGCAGCCTGACCGTTCTCTTTCTTTCGTAAATTGTAGCGGAACCGGTGGATTTTTCCTCCCACCGCCACATTGGCGGTTAGCTGTGTTACGGTATCCCCCAGCATACCGGCAATGACAGTGCCCTTGGCTGGAATGGGTTGATTCAAAATGCACAGGCGGTGGTCGGGGACACAACGAAAGCCATCGTCAACGTCTTCCATGAGAGCGTCGTCGTCCTGGTCGGAGGTGATGGACTGTAGGACCGGCTGTCGGTAGAGGAGACCCTTGACACAATAGCTCTTTGCTTTTCTCATAAGCACCGTGCCCGGTGACCAGGGAGAAGCAGCCGCAAGAGTTTTGAGTGACTCCATGTTGACCTCCTTTGTATCGGCGATGCAATGCACGGGGAAACGAATGTCCGCCATGGTCCCATCGTTGAAATCGGGCGTCCGGCCCAAGTTGTCGGCTCCGTCGGTAAATATCAATGCCGCCTCGACGTTTCCCTTTTTGGCCAGGTCTGAGATTGCCGTGGGCAACATGGCCAGATCTGTCCCTCCATCGTAGGAAATGGCCTGGATTTCGCTAAAGAGATCCGCAAACTCACAGTCCTTGCTCAGAAAGACACCCAGCAGTTCCGGAGCACCCATCCCAAAGGAATAGAGCTCGACCGTATGCGTCTTTGCTTTGGCAAACAATTCCTGCAACCGAGCACATCGAAGAGCTACCGCATCGTCGCTCCTTTGCGATGCGGATACATCCCAAAATATAGCCACATGGCCCAGCGGATTGATGATTATCGTTTCGTCGCCCTCTTGATTCAAACAACCCATGGCAGGCACATTGCAGGCAAAGTGTGTCTTGCCAAAGGATGTTCCCACCAAAGCCCCTGCGTCCTTGGCCGAAAAGGCCCGGTCAAAAGCCTGTTTGTACTGCACTTCCTCAATATGGATTTCTTTGGGCTTGTTGGCGGTGGCGTCCAACTTTGCCTTTTTCTTGCGCTTGCTCTTCTTTTCCTTCTTTTCCTTTTTCTCCTTTTTCTCCTTCTTTTTGTCTTTGCGCTCTTTGCTGCTCCTTTTCCCATTGGTATTAGAGCTGGAATCCAACCTGTCCATGCTGTCGCCCAAGGAAGAGGAGCTGTGTTCCAAGAAGGAGCTGTCGAGGGAGGTAGCGCTCAGATCCAAATCGGCGTCACCCTGAAGATTACTGAGCAACTCAAAGGCACTCCCATCCGTCAAGATTTCCAGCCGACAAAGGGTTACTTTTTGGTAAGGCAACGGAGAAACTTCAATTTCAAAGACATTACTGCTGTTGGCTGTATTGGAAACGGCAGCCACGGCTCGGCCCATTTCTTTTTCCTTGTAAATGATCTTCTTAGCAATCTCCTTGGGGACTGCCGTGGCGGGATACCACAGATTGCCATCGCGTTGTATTTCAAATTTCTTGACCGACGCTCCAATGGGCAACGTCAAGTGCAGCTTGGCCGTCACATTGTCCCGTTTCACGCATTCGTTGGTGAGATGCAATTCCAAGCTGACGCTGGATTTGTTCAGGAACGGAATGGGATCCGTGGCCCGGATCACAGCCTTGTGGATAGTGATGGGGAGGTGGGTTTCCTCGCCGTAGGTTCGAACAGAGAGGGCAGATGACATGGTCTCTGCTGGTGTGTTGTTTGCTTTGTCTGTTTGCTTTTGTGGCTGTTGGCACTTTGGAGTTGTGAGAACACCGGTACCGGTACCGGTACCGGTTGCAAGCTGACTGGTAAGCTTGTGGAGGAAGAAAGAATTCGACGACGCAGCAGTCGTTTTAGGCCAGATGACTGTGGGAATTTGTACCGGTACTGTTCAGACTTGGATAGCAATTTTGTCGTGTATCTTCGGCGCGGTACCATGCGTGTTTGGGGCTGTGGCTATCGAAACAGTCCATCGTCCTTGGAACATTCTGCTGCTGACTGGGTATATTAGCTATCTCAGGAGCAATTGTTGTTTCGCCGGTTTCTCAGTGACAGGCCAGTCGAGCCAAGCTGACCTGCTGTATCAGATACTGTATCCCCAATCCCCAATTCACCCCAGCACTCCGGTTCGGGGTTCGGCGCTTCAGTAATAGAAATCAGGCCACCTAGACGTGGTGCGCCTTCTATGAAGCTCTCTGTCTGATGGGCCCTTCTTTGCGCTGGTATCTTGGAAGAAGCCAGTTCCGTCCCCATCGACATGTCGTGTACAAATACTGTGGGTCGCTGTGGGTACCATCCATTATCCCTCTTCCCGTGCTCCGGCCGAACCGGTGATACCAACAACCGCACCGTTGTTGACTACCACCACGCCAGGTAGAGCAGGCTTTATTGAAGTTCCATGGGGTTGTGGAAATGCAAGAGAGACCTCGTCTTGTTCTCCCGGACGGGTTAGAGGGAATGTCACGCCTGAAAATGGCGAGGAGAACTTGAACTCACCTCTTTTGTCGAAGGCTCTGCTGTAATTCTTGCTCACACAAAGTCCCGGTGGGGACGATGATTTGAATGATTGAATCAGTCGGTTCCATTATTCTTTCTCTCTTCATGAAGAGGTTGCAAGGAGCCTATTCGTTGGTTGCCTTTGAGTAGCAGAGCGCATTGCTTTTTAAAAAAAGATGGAATGATCTGGATAGACTATAGCTACGCAGGCAGAATGAGAGTGCCCAAGATGATCATGCATTGGATCTTCTTTCTGCTTGCATATTGCGTGGCGGCGACTTCAGGAAGTGAAGACGGCGCGTGGAATTTGATCTCGCTGCAGACTCTAGACAACGGAGCAGGACGCTACACACAAGCCCGAACGATACGAGGTTCCAACCTTACCACCTTTGTCTGAAATGCGGTGACTCCGGAACCAGGGTTGAGGCTCTCACAGTGCAGCTGGCCCTGTACCGATACCACAAATTTGGTCACTCCAGTACACACCATTCCCATTGGAGAAGAAAACCCAAGGTTCATTCGAATGGAACTGTGGAAGGGGCGATACCCTGTCATTTGTCACACTGCAAACGATGGTCATGCGCTTGTCTTGGCACTTTGTAGGACTTCCACTACCTGTGAGAGTTTTGAGCAAGTGACAATTCTACGAGGACAAAGGATTCTATACTTTGACTTGTTGCAGCATTTGGAGAGCAGACCTTTTGTACGCATTCTGGCTACAGTGTCCAATCCGTGTGGATGCGATCTGGTGGGGCTTGTTGTCAACCTGAAAACGATGCAGGTTCTTCCAATCGAAATACTGAGTCATGCGTCTGAGCCGTTCCACATCGACGATACTACGTCCCTACCAGCGACAGGACTGGACAATCCGCTTTTGGCAGGTCAGGCTCTGGCATACTGGGACATTGCCAACCGCAAGCTCATAGGGCAATTCCACATTCACGCGATGCCCTTTTCAATTGTCGACAACACCACAACCTTTGGCGCATTCTACAATCCTGGTGCCTGGGCACGCATGGTGGTGATCCCGAAGAGCAATGCTCTTGTCGTAACCTTAATTGATTTGGAACAGCACTCGCTATTTGTCACACATTGCAATAGTCTTTCAAGCGTCAATTCGCCGTGTGGCCCACCACGATTGGTCGACGCCCATGCGTACAACGGAGACTTTACGGACTTCGGCGCCGGTGGGTTTCCAGAACTCCAGCTGGGATGGAATGGCTACCCGGTCTTGGTGTATTTTGTCCAATCTTCCCCCCAAAAGGGTTGCCTCCGGGTGATGCAGTGTCTGGATGTTTTGTGCGTGCAATTCCGAGTCTTTGACGTCAGTTGTGGACTTGCCGGACATGGCCGAGATGCCTCTGTAACCTTTCCAAGTCGTGGTACTGCCACTGTGAGCTTTCTAGATTTGCAGGGTCACGATGATGATCCTTCCTTCATGCAGGCCAGAGTGGCCGTCTTTGACGTGCAACAAAACCTGGATATGAAATACAGCTCTTGATCCACATCTCTCCTGCCGTACTAGCTGGTCAGAGGCCCTCATTTATTTTCAACTTTTGGATGAAGTTGACCCGTGTTATTGATTGTGTCAGGGTATCATCGAGAGAACTACGCCTGGCTAGCTCGTTTCATGATTGGACGAGGTTGGCAATTAATTCACTGCCTACTCTCTCCGCCAATGCAACGTTGATGCAACGAGAGATGGCATCGTGCACATGCATGGTCACGACAACCAATTGCATGCCAGAACAATTACATGCGCTACCGATACAATGGACGCTGTCATGATTATGAACTACAACTAGCTAGTACAACTACAACTACTATAAAGAATGAAGCCACGTATTTTGTTGTTGTCAAGCTTCTCTACTATGTGTTATTGTTCTATGTTTATGTTTTGGTTGTATTTTAAAAGATTGTAGCATCAACAATGATAGAGGTTGTGTGGTGTGGTGTCAGGGTATTAACTTTTGGACTTTCGTCGCGTGGAGGACGTTCGGACAAGCACTCTGCAATAGAGCTGCCTAGCACAGGAACCCAAACCTGGCTACCTTCGATGTACCCTTCAATTTGAACCAACTGTATTCATCTCGCAAAAAATTGTTGTATAGCCCTCACCCCACCAATGCTTGCTCTTTGTGTACTGTATTCATGTGTTAGTAGTCCCCGCAATCATAGCCGCCCCACTTACCTGCTGTCCTAGACTGGAATGTACCGGTCAGGCTTTCTGACTCGTCGTCCAGAAAGCGTTGTTGTTGTTGTCTGAACTGTTGTTTGCTGCTGTGTTTCCGTCACAGGTCTTGCCGTCTTCTTCTTGCCCTTTGCTTTGTTGACTTTTTCTTGCCCTCCCCTTTGGCTTTGTCGACTTTTTCTTGGTGCCGCCGCCATCTACATTTAATTCTAGGTTGTTCTGCCACCCGCCGGGGCTTTGCCTTGACTTGCTCTGCGATTCTCTGAGATGCAATTGCCGCCATGCGTCTCTTTGATCGTCGTAAAGTTGATTGTGCTGTGTCCACATTGTCCTCCTCATCGACTCGGTTGTCGACCAGTGGTTCTTCAGCATCAACTTGCTGTTGTTGTTCCTCGACCTCTGCTCGACCAGTGTTCTTCAGCCTCCACTTGGCCAGTCACGAATTCGTAATCCATATCATCCGAGGCAACGCCTGCCTCCAATCGTAGTGTGTTGTGCCGCCGCATCAATTCCTTGACAAGGTCTCCACAATCCTTCATCAATGCTGCTAGAATGTTGTTGGGTACCACTCCAAGTAGCACGCCACTCATCATTGGCATCTCCAATACAAATGGTTGTTGCCCATGCACACTGATCTTGAAGTGTTTCACATGCCACTTTTGAATGTATGGTACCACTGCTGTGCATGTTGAACCACGCTGCTTCGCATGTGATTGTGGCATCGGTGCCATCTTGTTGTCGTCGTCGTCGTCGAGACTTTTTCTATTGCCTCGACGTCTTTAGTTGTTGTGGGTTGTTGTTCTACTACTACAGGTGCTGCATCTTCCATGCAGACGTCCTTGACCTTGCGATAGACAAATCGTCGTTTGGCAATCTGTTCTCGCGTATTCAAGGTGCAAATTTCGTCGTCAGCGTTGCGCTGAATTCCTCCGTGGTGCAAGTGGCACATGGCGAGTTCGACATGTAAGGGTTCTTTTCGTTGACCATGAACCAATGTGAGACTTGCTTGTCGTTTCCTTTCTTCGCTGGATAAACGAACAAGTCCCTCGAGGTTCTTGATGAACGGCATCAATTTGAATGTACAGTTTGGCTTTTTAGGTATGCTTTGTCGCTTTGGAACCATTTGTTGTTGGTGATCCATTTGGCCACTTGTTGGTATCCGTACTCTTGAATCAACTGCACGAGTCCAAGACGCGTTCGTGGGGTGTGGGTGTGCCGACGGAAATGAATTGTTGTTGGGCTTCCTGCCAGTATTCGTATCGGGCCTGTGGCACATGTTTGTTCATGTCTCGATAGACACGACGGTTCTCAGCTTGTTCGCTCTCGCAGAAGAGTACCCCATACAGTGTTGACGGGAGCAAGGATAAACGGTTTCCATTGCTCCGTTCGGTGTCTTGACCGTAATGGGTCTTCCAGCGAGCGTTGGCTGATTGACTGGGTTGGATGCGACAGCCTTTGGGCCGGTGCTGGTTGTATTTGTCGTATCCGTAGTGACCACGCTGATCCACAGGAACCAGGGAAAGGTCGTAGGCACCTAGGTAGCGACCGTGCTGCTGGAATTCCACATCAGGATGCGTTCCATACGTGTGCAACATTGCCGCGGTTTCGAGCATGTCTTGTCCAACTCGTCCAGTTGGAAGTTGGGACTTCCTCTGCCGCAGGAACATCCTTGTTGTTGTTGCCCGTCATCTCCTTGGCGACCTTGAGAACGGGGGTCTTTGGTGTTGCTGTTGTTGTTGTCGGTGGTCCATGACCACGTGAGCAGCTTGATGATAGAAGAAGAGAACTTCATTTTGCAATTGATAGGTATTGAATAGAAGATTGATAGAAAAGGTAAAAGTAGACTTGAATAAGGTCTGGGGGGTTGATCTGGCCTAGGCTTATCAACAATCGCAAATCTTCCTTGTTCGGTTGGGTATGCAACTCTAGCAATCCGGTTGAACAAAAAAGTGAGCTCATCATGGTGACATTCCATTTTTCCACCTCCAAAATCAGATGACAGATTCTGCCAGATTGAGAATTTTGAAAAACGACATGTGACGAGAGGAGACTGAGCCACTGATGAGCACTGATTTCATGCTCTGTACTACTAAACAACACCCAACAACACACTTCCTGGCCTCTCAGAGTACCTGGTGGTCTCCAGATTGCTTGTATGGTGTTTGTTGCCGAGCTGCGGAGCTGGAGCTGCGGAGCTGACCTTCGTGCTGACGCTTGACAGTTGCTCAATCGTGGCAACCAGCGTTGATGCTCTCCGAGATTTAACTAAAGTCATTTTGAAGTGAAAAAACAGAACCGTTTTTCTCTATCTGGCACGACGTCGGTAAGGAGCGAACAATCATTAAATAGACAATCGCTTGAAACTACTAGTAACTAGTATCCTTTAAATCTTCACAATCAATTCCTGCTTTTGAGTCGAGTCGAATCAGTCGTGGCAAACTTTAAATCCTGCTACCAGTACTAGACTAGCTAGGGCTTGGTAGCGCTACCGCTACCGCTACCGCTACCGCTACCGGTACCAGCTGTCTTACTATGGTAGCTAGCTAAAATAGGAGCCATAGGTCAGTGTTGCATACGGTACCGGTAGGGGGATCCTACAGCAGCCAGACAACTCTCACGTTTGCCTGTGAAGGAGTGCCGACAGTCAGCAGAAGGGTCCCTCGACTTCGACTTCAGCCCTTACAGTCGTATGGTCGAGAGCGATACGCTCATCGAAGGAATGGAAGAGGATTCGTTTAGACGTACCCCCCATACAATCGTCCCCTTTTGAATCACGCCTCTTGCGACAGGAGACGATCGACCGGGTGCGACGTTTCATTCTTCAATACCGAAGAATATGCATCATTCCTGGGACTAGTACTACGAATACGAAACGGAACTCTGTATAGAACGTTAAGCCTACGGAAAGCATGTTTTCCCCTAGGATTCGCTACTGGACAGCATACATACATATAGTGTGTGTTGTAGATCCACCTAGAAATGTTGCCAGTCCCGTCGTGTTGGAATCCGAAATGATGCCCTGCAATCTTCTCGGGCAACAAAGGACGATAAGAACCCCTCCGAGCACCTGTTCAAGTACCAGGGACTTCGTACTTTCTACCGAGGTTGGTATTAGAGGCGAGTTTTATAATCGTAGGGCTTGGGCTCGTCACCATCGTGGAGACCGATATCTGGACAGCCACGAAGATCGAACTTCCTCAAAAATTGAAACGAATCTTGGCCACAGCGTGGGTGCACTTCGAGATTTAATAAAAGTCAATTCAAGATGAAAAGACAGGAACCGTTTCTCTCGCACGGCTGACTTTGACTTTCCGAGCAACGTTTCTCCCGAAGTCGTTTCCGAGTTCTTCACACAACACCAAACTACGATAGATTTGTTCTGTGAGAGCTCATTGCATCACCAAAAGGAAGAGCATCGAGCACTTGGTCTTTGCGTTTTGCTCATCGGTATCAACAAAACAACGACGACCACGGGTAGGTAGCGGCAACGGCCGAACGTTCTTGCGTTTTCACCTGCTTCTTCCATTGCAACGCTCACGGACGCATCTCTCCTATCTTTCTAAGAATCGTCTTCACAATGGCAACATCCCATCCTTCTCGAAACCAATCTCCGGCGACGGTTCCCATCGCCCCATTGTCCTTCACGACGCCTACGACAGCGAAGCAAGTCCAATCGACGCAGCAGTTTCTTTCCACCCCGACTGTATCTTCTGACCATGACAACGACAATGCTCCCGCTGCATTTGGCTTTCCATCGACGCCAGTGAATATGATAATGACACCCAGCATCGTCAATACACCATGCATCACACCAATTCCCGACCCTTGCAATTCCAACGACTCCAGCAGCCTCGATGAGTTCGACGTTATGCTCAGCCACGAAGACTTCCCCAAGCTTCTCAACATTGCAGCCCAAGTCAAAGGTCTTCAGGTCAACGGCAATATGGCCGCTCAGCAGCAATCAAATGGCAGGGATGGACCACTCGAAGCGACGGAAGTACTTTTGGCTGTCGCGAAACTGCAAGAGCGTCTTCTCAGTCCGACCGCTGCAAGATCCCAAGAACTCTCCGTCGAACCTCGCAAGATTCTTCGCGGTAGTTACCCCATGACAGATTTACTATTTGACGATTCCTTAGCCATTCTACAGCACGAGCTCGATCGGTGCCAACAACAGATTGCCTTGCAGTCCAACGAAGCAGCGCCTCCACCCAAAAAGAAAAAGAAGACCACCATCAAGTCCAACAAAGAAGCCATTGCTATCAAGTACTCCAAGTGGCAGACTGACATTCTCATGCAATGGATGATTGAGCACATTGATAATCCGTTCCCCGACCAAGATGAAGTCCATGAACTCATGCACCAAACCAACTTGACCTACTCCCAAGTCATCAACTGGACGACCAATGTTCGTAAGCGCAACCGCAAGGCCACATGCGAAGAGAAGAAGAAGCCGCATCACTTCATTGACTTTCTTTTTCTGGCCCAGAAGCGAGATTCTGTACAGGAGGAAAGATCCATTACTCCTGAGCCAGCTAGCCGCAAGATCTTCGATACACCCACAACCAACGCCGAAAACTCGACCCCCGGAACGGCGTCTCGGAAGAACAAGCGTCGAGCTGATTCATCGCTTCCACCTTTGTTATCCCCTGCGAGTCAACTCCACACTCCGCAAGCTGTTTATGGTCCGTCTCCAACGTTCTACCCGCAAACTCCAACCACTTACTTCAACTCGTATCCCTCGGGCGATATGCTTGCCTTTCCCACGTCTCCAGCATACTACTACCCTTCATATCTTGTGCAGGGCTTTCCCTACAACCACGGCGCTATCTACGAGCAGCAGCAACAAGGGCAAGGCTACCATCCTGCACCACCGCGACAGGTGCCACCATTCCGTCCCTATCAGCGCAAGCCACCGTCCCGGCCTTCCACCCCTTCTGGCAGCGATCCGTACCTTCAGCCGATCAAAGAGGAAGATGAAGAACTGCAACCAAGCCCCGTCAAGGTTGAGTCCAGCACTGAACGGAAGAGCTCTGTTGCCACCACTAAAGTCAAGGAAGAGCCAGGAAACGAAGATGTATCTTCTGCCGTTCAGCACAAACCGGATAGTGCCCCCAGCAACGGTGATGTTCAAGTCAAGCAAGAACGTGTTTCGCCTGTTACTGCAACGTCTGCCCAGTTTCACTTTGAGGATGGCACTGCCATGGACCCCATCGATCTCGATGCCCCCGTGGACAACTCGCTCTTGCACGACTTTGCCATGTTTTGGGAGTTCAATCTGGAAAACGACGACGAAGTGGGAAGCAAGAATGATACTGAAGGTCACGCTATGTACGTCCTCCGCCCAGAGCAGACTGAATCTTCGCAAGACGTTCCGGCTCTCATGGAGGAGAAATCTCGCAACGAGTCATCGGCTGCCACGGACATGAAAGCGGACGATGTCCCCTCGGATGCCATGGTTGGAGTCTAGAACCGCGTTTAGAATTCAAATCTTCATTTCACCTTGCACGAGAGTAATCAAAGGGATTCAATTCGATTCGATTCAATCAGCCAGTGCAAGGATCCGAGACACGGCACAACAACCAAAAATTAGTGTGGGGATTGTCGCCAGCAAGCCACGGAGGCGACCCCGGATAGAATAGTGAGCCTTTTTTAAGTAGTTTAGCATGCATGGAACATCAGTGGATTGTGGCAGGTTTCGTGACCAGCATATTGCTCAAATAGTATGATCCCAGTAGCCACCCAAACATTTTCCAGTCTGATATTTTGTTAGTTTCCAAAGAAATTCTTGATGCCGTCCAAGGCTCCCTTCATTTCCTTGGGTTCGATGGGTTCTACAACCTTTGCCTTGTCTTCAGGAAGACCGTCAAATGCCAATTTGTATCCCCACTCCAAGCTGTCTCTGCTCTTTCTCAATTGGGGATAAGAACGGCAAACCCCTTCCTGGAGCTTTGGTAAATCGGTGTAAAGACTGCCAGCGATTCCTCCGTCCAATTGGTTTTTGGAGATTCCAGCCATCATGCCACCATCGGCCCAAGCTTGCGCCAAAGATTTGGATTTTTCATCTCCCTTGAAACTTCCGCAAGGGTACCACATCTACGAATCAAAATCAAATTATCAATGAATGAATGCGCCAAAAAAAGCAGGGAAAAGATAAGATGGTGAGGCAAACGATTCAAGAAAGATATGGAAAATCCAGATACCCACAAAGCTTGTTGGGAAGACCTTGATTGACTGAAAGACTCAGGAAAGCGTTGGATTGGACTTTGGATCACTTACATTGGCTTTCTTGGTTCGCACAAACAGATTAAAGACGGGCATACCATCGGCACCCGGTTTGGAAGCGGAAACCATTTGATCTCTCATTTGCGACATTTCCTGTTGCCGACGGTAATTGCCACGCAAATTGACGGGAACATTCGGCTTGCCCTTTTTCATTTCCAAAAAGTTTCCAGCAGGACAGCTATTGGTAGTGGTAGTAGGTGTCATCAAGACACTGCCACCAAACGACGACACACTGGAGCCGGTCGTCCATGCGTGGGCACTGGCAGCAAAAAGAGCGGCAAGAAGGAACGATCTCATCATTTTGTGTGTGTTTTTGGTTACTGCTGCGTGGGAATCGAGTCTTATCCTATGGGGATGGTTCTTGTGGATGCTTCTGCTCTTGTGGTTGTTGGCTTTAGAAGCAAATGGAAAACCAGCTTCTTTCTCCGACTTGCTCAGCGCGAAATCAGGATCCTTTTCTCGACAACTCACCATCCCTTGATTGCTTGACCTCCACCTGTCCTCGAGGCCGTGTTTGTTGGTTGAAGTTTTGTAGACTGACTGACGTCATCTCTCTCAGTCACGACTATTTGAGTCAGAGTCCCGTCCATAAATGTGTAACCCTCACCCTACCGTACATTTCGACTTCCCCTCCATCCACCATGGCGGTCAACGCATCATCACGGTGCAGCTTCAAGACAAAGGGGGCTGACGGAGGTAGACTTCTTTTGGTGGTACTGGAGAATGGAATAAGGTACCTCTCAGTATTTGTGATGGGAAAATGCCGGTACTGTAGCCATGAAAATATATCACTACAACGCTTTAGATATTGCTGGTTCAATGGTACCGGTATCCCCATGGCAGGCCAAAATATCTATCTATTGTCCTATGCATTTTTTCTTTTAATATTTATTGTCAATGATTCAGGAGGCGCCATTCTCCTCCCGCATCAACCTCTATCTCAACCATGCACGGCATCCATGTCATGTCAATGCTAGTTAAAAGACTCCAAACTTGATGAGGTTGGCACTGACAAATTCATAGGTCATGAATGTAATGGCCTGTCCAGGAACAATCCTCAAAAGACGGGGTGTGATACCCTTCCAGAGAGCCAAGACACCTTCTTCTTTGGCAATCAAGGCACATGCCTGGCCCAAACCAGTGTACTGATAATAAAAAGAATGGAAAGAAAAAAGGATCAGCAATGGTGAGACAAACAGAAATAATGTGAACGAGTACACAAGACAAGAACTGAATGATGAATGAATGATTGAATGAATGGCCATACATACCTTGGCAGGTTTTCCAGGAGTAATGACTTGCTTTTGCATACGAGTCTTGACAACATCGAGTGGATTATTGACCGTGGGGCCCATACCTCCACTGAAGCCTCCAATCAAGAGTGACTGCCACGACGCCAACTCGGTGGTTCCCTGATAGTCCATGACCTTTTTCTTGATGAGGTTGTATCCTGTAAAGTTGACTGCCTGATTACAGCCTTGTCGCAACATGGTTGGTACGACACCCTTGTAGAGAGCTCCAATGCCTTCTTCGCGGGTAATGACCATGGCAGTCTGGACGACATTGGTGTATTTTCGATGCTGCTTTTGAACGGGATCCATCATGCTGTGATGTTGGGATTGCATTCGGATTTTACAGACTTCGGCGGGTGTCACCACCATAATGGCTTCAGTGAGACCACTCATGAGACCGGCCGTAAAGGTAATGAGTGTGGGAGAAATCTTGCCGTCGAGTCCGGCACGTTCCTTTCCGGTATGCAGGATCTCCTTGTATTGTTCAAACGAGACGAATCGAATGGCCATTTTGGGGACAATGCCCGTGTAGACCGCCGTCAATCCCTTGTAGAGCGCCAAAAATCCTTCGCGTTGAATAATGCGTTTGGCCGTACCCACGGGCCCAAGCGGCGCCACGGTGGTCCCCGCCGTTGACGGTCCACCAGTGCGGACCACTTGTGTCACTCTTCCACCCGCCGTGGTAGTCGTACTCATGCGGGCCATGCCTGGTTCAGCCGCAGCAAAACGACCGGCCGGTTCCTGCAGACTGTGTTTCAGACGAAGTGCCGGTTCCATGAGGGAATCGCGCATTTTGACCACCACCTTTTCCACACTGGTCGCTTGACGACGCAACTGCATGCGAGTCTTGATCGTATCCAGAGGATGACAGCAGGAAGACTCCACCAGCCCGGCACAGCCACCCGCCACCAAGTGCATCAGCGGATTCTTTTTTTTGTTTTGTTCTTTGGTAGATGACATCTTGATCTTTGAAGAGAAAGAAAAAACTTGGAGACAAGGCAAACTAAAAAAGTTTTTGCTTGGTTGGTCTTTTGGATAGTTTTTGCTTTGCTAATCCCAACTTGCAAAAAAAGTGAAACTAAACTAAACCCATCCTTTGGAATTCAATCAGTCCATCAGTCAATCAATCGGTCACAGTCTCATCCGATCACTCTCATTTGCCCTTCTCATGATGCGATGAGTATGAGTGATGGGCTACCCATGGGAGGAAGGTTGGTGTCAAGTGTCAATACGCGCCTTTCAATGACGACTTCTTTTGCTTGGCACGAATGAGGTTGACCCTGCTTGACGTCACCCAATTCGTCGACCTCGCGTTAAATCTCAAATGTCGCATCCTCGTCAGCATCATTCGGGGCATCACGACTGCCTTCAGACGCGGTTTGGACTCTCCATGCTTGCGGGAGTTACTTGCGAAACTTCAATCGAAACAGAGGTGCGCAGTGCGCAATGCTGCCAATGCTCATCATGACAAGCCCTTTCATCTGTCATCTCATACTCCAACCTCTCTATCAAGCCTAGTAGATAGTGTTGGGACTATAAATAATCTACTGTTGCCTCTCCTTAATCGATGTAAATCCTGTGGCACTTCGAATTTTTCTTGTCGTCGAATTCCACCGTAGAGTTGCTGTTACCGGTGCTGCATCCAACGGATCTCCCACAATGGTGCTTTCCGTCTCTATGGCATACCTTCAAGACAGCCAACTCGACTTTTTCTTGTCTTACACTTTCACCGTAGCAATCCTCTTAGAGCTCTTATTAGGGGAGCTGCATCCAACGGTGCTCTCTGTCTCTACCTTCGAGATAGAGATTCCTTACTCGAATATTTCTTGTCTTTGAATTTCACCGTAGCATTCCTCATCGAGCTCTTATTAGGGGAGTTGCATCCAACGGTGCGTCTACCTTCGAGTTACCTGTCACCGCCACGTCCAATATGCCAATCAATCGAGAGAGGAGCTCTGTCGCTAGACTAGCTCAGCATGGACGACGCGACGGTGAAGGGGACAGCACGGGGTGTATCAGAGACCACAAGGCAGGACATCATGATGGATCGACAAGAGCCAATAGACGTGTCCGAGGATGAGACCATCCTTTACAACTCTGCAGCTAGAATCAAGAGAAAGGTAATTCCACTGCTGGTGTTGTTGGCTACCGGCTTGCTTTTGGTCCTCGGTTGTGTTATTGCTATCGTGGCGCAGAAACCAACTACAAGTCCTCAAGAAATCAAGCAGCC